ATACACACACACACACACACACACACGGACATAATGCACACATTGCCCAGTTCTAAAATTTATGTGGCGGCCCGTAATTGTTAAATACTATTTTTTTTATATATGAGAACCTTATCTGTGTTGGCCTGCGTCTACATATGTATGTATGTATGTATGTATGTATGTATGTATTTTGTAGTATTTGTTTTTGTAAATTTATTTAATTTACTGCCTGCACGGAGTTGTAGAGAATTCAGTGTATCTAAACGCTTGAGCAGCAGATTGGTTCTACTCGAATCTGTAATTTGTGTGGAACTTCGATAAACACATCGGTGCTGGAGAATTTAACACCTGAGTTCGGTGCAAATGATGAAGTAATCACCATAAATACATATTTCTAATTGCACGTATACGTGTATGTACATATATGCATGCGAGTGTGCACACAGATCCATTCGTGTGTATGTTTGTATGTATGTGCACGCAAACTTATTATGTGCGCCCCAAGCTTTGGAGCTTCTATGTACTTCCACACCCACATACACATGCTCAAAATTCGCCGCTGAAGTGTTCATTGTTTGTCGTTGGTTGGATGTTGTTCCACCGCTACAAAGAGAGTAAAGAACTATTTTACAATACCCTATCGGGAAAATATTACCTTATAAAAGAAATTCACACATTCACAATGAAAAAAAAGTAATATCGATTTTACAATCTTCAGATAACCCTGTTTGTGTTCAGAAACTTCAAGAAATTGCATAGAGGAATGCTGTTTGCCTGGTTTTCGTGGAGTTTTAACTTCATAAGACTCTTCCTTTAAAGAGGGTTAGACTTGGCAATATTTCCAATTTTTCCCCGCAATTCGCTGTCAAATTGAGAAAGAGAAATTTTATTTTGATGTATGAACAGCCGCAAAGACCTTTCTGTCACATTTCGGAAATCAGTTTCAGAAATAAAAATTGCAAATTGAAAACTGACTCCAATTGAGAGAGCGCAAATCGATTTCGGATATATGTATAGATATTTCAACTTGCTCGTGCTGCACTAGCAGTCTGCAATTCGCCTTTCGGAAATAAAAAACCTCTTTCGACAGACACTTTACATACAAGGTGTGACAGCTCATTCGACTGCTTTCTGAAATGTCTCAATTTGACAGCTTTTTCGAAATATATTGCATTGCGACGTCTGACGGGCTCTTTATGTATTGTTATTTATGTTAATAGAAAATAAATATCTAATTTCTATGTAATTTACGTTAGTAGTTTGTAAAAAAAATGGGCTTAGCAGAACAAGGGATCCTATGGCCTAAAAGATATTTTGTGTCACGATGATTAAATGCCTAAACTTCGTTGAAATTAATATCGATTTATCGTAAATTTAGCGACGTTAACAAATTTCATGCCGCTATTATCGATTTTCAAGAACATCGCTTGCATCTCTACGTCTCACTTATTGTTCTAAAATTAAATGGGCTTTTCTGAATAGATCGATTGTTTGAAAATTTATTGAATTTTTATAGTTTTTGTACAAAGTTTGTAATGTGGATTTATGTGGTGTTTGTTGTATAACCAGCTAGACTTTTATAAAAAAAAATCTAACATTAAATAAGCCAAAGGAATACATATCTGTAGTGGTAACTTTTATGTGAATAGTACTGTAGTAGTTTTTATGTGTATGTGTTTCAGTATAAATGTACATACGAGTGTTTGTGAGCCTATGACACATATTTTTTGGCTAACTGAAACCGCAAACGACAGAAAAGTACCTACTTACCGAAAAATGAAGGCAACAGCAATCAAAGTGAAAAAAAGGGCAAAAACAAAAACCGAATATTCTTACATACATACATACACATAAGTACTTATATGCATCCCAAATATGTATGTTATGGAAAAGTAAAGTAAAACGACGTTAAAACGGCATGAGTTCGCCTTTCCCAAATCGCTCGATATGTTTCACAATGGTCGGTTATTCGCGTGGGAGGTAACCACCTTTCCACCTTACCACCAACCAACTATGTACATTGGCACTTATGCCAGATTTTTTCAACACTATTTTTGCTTTCATCATTTATTTATTTATTTTTTGTTTTTTTAACCTCTTCGTGCTACTTTACGCTACTCACCACTCACCACTCATTGTTCGTTGATGTTTTTTGTGTTGTTGCTTTTGGTTTCGTCGGATTACATCCCATATCATTGTTTTGCATCCTTCCTTTGGCTTCTGGTGGTGCAGGCGTTCTAATTGTTTTACCTTTGCTTTCTCTCATTGTCGTTTCACGGCTGTGTGTGGGTGTAGTGATAGTTTGTTTGTGTGTGTTTCTGTACAATTACAACAACAACGTACAAATATTTATCCATTTGCTTTTGATATACATCTGTAGCCCCAATTGTTGGGTGGCTTTGTTCTTTGTTGTAATCGAAGTGTACCTGTTGAAATTTGTTGGACACGTGTGCGTGTGTTTATATATGTATGTATGTATGTACGAACACACGGTTGAAAACATTTAGAAAACATCCCAAAAATAGTGCGATTATAGTAAACAAGTTTCAAATATCTACTTAAGTGCCTACCATAAATCCTTTGTTCATTTCTGCTTAATTTTGTTTCTGAAGATTTTTTCGCCTGCCCTCATTCTTGCCACTTTGTATCGGTTTTTATTCAATTTATTTTACCTTTTTATTCCATCGATGTCATTGACCTGTGTGCGTTTGTAGTGATTTGTAAACAAAGCCATTGACATGTGTGTTTCGTCAGGATACTTATCGCTTTATCGCTGATATTTCATTTGCTATTTCCAACTTACATACATATGTACATATGTATGTATGTATTTATCCTTATTTCAATTTATTTATTTTTTATTATAACTAATCTGTTTCTCCTTATCTCGAATTTCAGGATCCCGCTGGTATCTTCGAGCTAATCGAGGTCGTCGGCAATGGCACCTATGGGCAAGTCTACAAGGTAATTACACTGGATCAAAAATTTCGTGTTTTTTTCACATACTCAATTCTTATGTAGAATCTCTCGTTGACTCCGAAAATCGAGTTAATTTTTTTTTTTCTATGGATAAGTTTTGGAGATATTATTAAAAAGTGGTT